ATTTTTTAAATAAAAATACTTAAAACCTTGACCAGAAGTAAAATTTCACCTAATCCTTCACATTTGCTCCTTCCCCCTGGCTGTTTCAGAATTCCCCTTTTCCCAGGGCCTGCATCAACTAACTTGTTCCCCTTCAACAACTCTGCACCAAAAGCTCTGGCCTTCATTTCCCCTTTAGTAGAATACTTTTAATTGCCCAAATCCTACTGCTGGAAAATAGAGCAGATCGTACTCAAGGGATCGCTAACAACTAGACACCTGCTACATGATCATTGGAATTGCATCCCCATCAGCAATTAATTGCCTTTATCAGTTTTAAAGAGATGCAACATAAAGATTTTCCAGCAATGCGCTGGACAGTGGCACTGGAACCCAATAGAATTTGTTCCCTCGAACAGAGATGAGCCTCGCATTTGACTGGCCCTTGTCTCCATCAGTGGCTTTTATAGAGTTCTTTTTAATGGAGGCTGAGTTGAACTGTTCACAAGGAATCTTGGAACTTGGCCCATGTGACAGAAAAAGACTTGATTTCAGTGCTCAGGCTATTTGTTACTTATTTTTGTTCAGTGACAAACACAGACAGACATTCACAAGTCCTCCCAACACGCTGAGCATCCACCTACAGCTCAACAAAGCCAGTCAGCTGGTGTTCAAAGTGAAGGGCATTTCACAGGAGGCAAAGGAGATTGTGTATAGCATTCATTCTCAGTGAATTTTCACATTTTTCTTCTGGAAAGAATGTCTTCTTTGTGCTTTTGAGTAAAGAACAACTTGGGAGAACATTAAAATTCATGGAAAATAGTCAGATTTGGGGGCGGGGGGCGATAGATTTCCTGGCAGACTCATTTTTTAAAGACAACTATATCACCTTTAACTCACATATCTTTTAAAACCTGCTTCCGCACCATGCTGACAGTTAGAATTTTATCTCTGCACTGTTACTATTTCTCTGGAGAGTACATTTCTGCATCATTTTGACAGACTTGAACGTAAAGAGATGAATGCTCCTCATTTCTGAAAAATTTGGGGGTAAGTTGCTGTAACCAGTTTCCCGTTTTCAGGGGCGATTTGTCTGTCATCACTTTAAATCTAGCAAGGTTTAGTTAATTCTTTTCACAGCCAGATTTTCTAAAAGTGGAATGCTCACAGTAGTCCTCAAGGCTCTGAGGTCAGGAGCCACGCCGACTGCTGTCATATTCTCGCTGGCCATGTGTGCTGGTACAGAGCAAGAAGACCTGTGGATCAAAAGGCCCCCTAGCCGCCCACCGCTCAGAGTGCAGGATGCTGCTCACTCTGCCTTTTTCTTCCTGGAAATCTTTCCCCAGCCAGGCAGGATGGATTGTCTTCATGTGATAGCATTCAAAATATTTTGCTGAGGGACCATGGATGGATGAAGAGGAAAACAGAATATTAATTGAAAATGATGTATTCCTATCAGCTAAAAGCTCCCTTCCTTTGGCAGTCAGAGAACAACTTTTTAAACAATCATATAGAAAATGTGCCATTCAATAAATCTGATGATCTAAAGTAGAGAAGTGGTAAAGGAAATACAATGTACTTATAGACTAGAACAGGACAAAGACCTACTGCCTGTTTTTGTATGACTTGTAAGCTGTAAATGGTTTCTATAATTTTAAATGGTTGGGGAAAAATAATAATAATAATAATAATAATAATATTACTATGACACTGGAAATAAAGTTTTATTGGAGCAGAGCTAAGACCATTTATTGATATATAGTGTCTTTCTTTGCTTTCATGCTACAACAGTTGAGCACTTGCACAGTTGAATAGTTGCAATGGAGACCACATAGCCCTGAAAGATTCAAATATTTACTATCTGTCCTTTAACCAAGTTTATTGACCGCTGGGTTAGATCACTGTATCATCAAGTGATTCTATTTAAAAATATTTTATTTTAAGAGGCATGCCTATGATATAATATTTAGTGAAATAAGTATAACAAACTTATTTCACTAAGATGATCTCACATAGTTTATTTTCTACGCATAATTGTTGCCTCTTTCCCCTGGTGGAAATGTAAGTTTTATGAAAGAAAAAAAATGCATTAATTATTTCAAGTCTAGAATGATGCTTGGCATAGAGTAGATGCTCAATAAACAAATAAAGGCCAGTTGAAGACTGATGAATTATGTAATTGTAAAATGTATATATGTAATAATAATCATAGCATATCTTTCTGAGATATGCAAATATGTTAGGTACCAGGTTGATAATTTTAAGTGTGAGAACCCCGTTAGCTTAACGGAGTCCTTTTGGAAGGTACATTATTACTCTCATTTTACAGAAGAAAAGAGCTAGGAGAGATTGTATAACTTGTCTACTGTTACAAAGCTAAGAAGTAATGTGACCAGAATTGCAAAGGTCTGATGGACTCCAGAGGCTGGGCTCTAACCATAAGCTATACTCCTTCAACACCTAAAAACAAGCTTAATTTTCTTACCTGTCCTTCAGGTGAGAAAGAAAGGGATGGGAAACTCCCAGAGGTAAATATCCAAATGACAGAACCTACTGGGGTAGGAGATGATAGGTGGTTTTTGTCTCCTTAGCTATACATTTTAATGATTTTCCATGTGGGTTTTTTTTTTTTTTTAATAAGTAGCTTTTAATTACTTTGAAAATAAGAAACAAATGTTTCCAAAGGAAAGGAAAGACAGCCCAGAAGGTTGTCAATGATTTCAATTGTTGTGAAGATAATTTCCTTATTTCTCTGAGGGTCTTAAGTGAATGGCTGAGAAAACTGTTTCCTGTCTGCCTCATGTGGTGGCTTGTGTTGTTAAACTTCAGTATTAGGTTTCAACTTGCTTTGAATACTTCCCAGCACTGAGAATGCAGAGATGTCTGTGTGTCACATTGACAGAGCATCGTGATGCTCATCTTCAGAAGTCTGAAGCGTTCCTGTGTCTTTGAAAGCTGTGTTGTGTCTTTGGTCATGTTTGCTTATACTGGTCTACATGTATCTTTCACTGCGTGAGAGACTGCTTTTGTCTGGAACATATTATTATTTTTCAAATTGGCATAATACTTGGAGTAATACATGTACAATTAGATTTATATTATATCTAAGAAGATAATTAGGTCCCAGGAGCCCCGAATCATTTAACAAAGTAAAAAAATAAATAAAATAAATAAAAATAAAAAGGAGAGTGGTAATGTTAAAAATGAAGTTCTTTATTTATGGTTCATGTTTTGTTTTTGTTTTTCCCCTCTTTTAAATTGTATGTCAATGACTGTGGCATATTTCCCACAATCTAAAGGACTTTTCACATGCCCTGGCCTAAATTTCAAGGCTCAGAGGATAAGGATTTTCTTCTTTTGAACAAAACTAGAGTACAGGTGATTAGAATGATTAAATGGATGCTGTTAAAATTATTGAGGTCAGTGTAACCCCAAATTCAGGAGTGGTTAGAGAAGATGACGAATTCCTGCGATTCAGACCAGTGATAAAAACTCAGCAAGAAGCAGGCAAGCAAGGTGGGAAAACAAAAGTCTTTAATGAAAAGGAAACCACTTATACTTTGAGAGACTCTTAGGTTATTTTAAACTAGAGGCCTGGTGCATGGGGGTGAGGGAGTGAGGTGAGGGTGGAGGTAGGGGGGCCCTCAGCCCAGCCTGTACCCTCTCACAATTTGGGACCCTTTAGGGGATGTCTGACTGCTAGTTTAAACCTGACCCCGAGGCCTCAACTGGCAGTCAGACATCCCGCTCGCAATCTGGGGCCTCTGGCTTCTAACCGTTAGCTCGCTTGGCTGCCTGATTGCCCTTAACCCCTCTGCCGCCTGCCTGATCACCCCCTACCTGCCTCTGCCTCAGCCCCTGCCACTGCAGCTTTGTCCGGAAGGTCGTTAGGCTGTCTGGTCTAATTAGCATATTATGCTTTTATTATTATAGATGGCTTTTAAAAAACCCCGTGATGTGTCTAGACATTCCAGTCATGATTTCAGAGGCTTCTGTTTTCCAGGCCTGTTAATAATGAGTTAAGTGTTTTGTTTTTGTTTTTTTCTTCACATCTTTGTGACTTAGTTTTTTGTTTCTTTCCCCCTGAGTGTCATTCTGATGTCTGAGTTATAAGCAAAGCTGCTCATGTCTTCTCTTAGTGACTTTATTTAGCAGAAACAGGGGCCTGGAAGTGATGTCGTTGTTTCTGAGGTTGAAGTGTCCTCCAGGGGAATCCATGATGGTCTTCACTGTTTATGGTGACTTCAGAAAGGCTTGTCATTTTGATGCAGTTTAGCAATGACGTTTTAAAACTATCCAAAGTGAGGCAAAAACAATTCAAGTGACAGATTTTTTTTTTTGAAAAATCACCTATACCCATGCAGTTGAAGAAATCACGTTTGCTTAAATACACTTTGTGAGGTTACATGTGAGTAAATGATCTATTACCAAGAGCACTGATGTTTCTATCAAAAAGGAAAAAAACACACTCTTGCTTCTTTTTCTTTGAAGATTGTGGTGTCGGTTGTGAACCATACAGTTTCACTTTTAAATCTGCGACTTCTGAAAATTCTTTTTCTTCCTGACATCATAAAGCAGCCTCAGAAAATCAGACAGTTGTTATTACAAATAGAAAGCAGTTCCATTCAGACACTGAATAGACAATTATACGTGTCTGGATTTTTTCCCTTTTTTGTGGTGCTTACTTTTAGATGTGGAATAAAACCACAATAACCAGAGGACGTTCTTATTGGTGGTTAGTGGCCAACTAATGCCACATCTTTAAAGTGACCTATTTAAAAAAATAATTTCTTATTGTCTACCAAATACCTTCCATTTTATAAGACTTCTCTCAGGAGGCATCAATGAGGTGTAGAATATTAAAGCCTCAAAAGATAAAGGGATCATAACATATTACCTAATCGCACTCTGGCATTTGACAGGGGAGAGCATGAAGCTGTGACAGTGTGTGACTGTCCAAGGACACACTCACTCAACAGTCGCACGTTAACAACATGTTTGTTTGTTTTTTAATTCCCTAGATGGCCGCCCCTGTCCTGTTATTCTCTGGGATCCATCTTTATCTCCAACAAGTAATGAGACCCACTCTTCTGTGAAGCTCACGTGGGGAGCTTACCAGCGGCTGCTCAAGCAGAAGTGCTGGCAGAATGGCCGCGCACCCAGACCCGAGTGGGGCTGTACTGCGGTGCATCACCACGAGTGGTCCAAGATGGCCCTCTTCGACTTCCTGCTACAGGTACGTTCATCAAATCAAGTAAGTGGTTTTCTAAGATTAGCGCTGAGTCAGACAAGTCTGACACCAAGGAATTTCCTGCCCCTGGAGTTTTTGTGAAACCAGAGTTGAAGTTCTCTATTGCTCTATTTGGTGAGTATAGTACCTCATGATACACTTTTGTGTCTTTAAGGAAATATCTAGAAATGTCCATCAGCTCTTTTATTAATATCTGAAGAGGCAATTCTTCAGTGTTTTAATCTTACAATAGTTATACCTACCATAGATCCAGTTTATTGAGGTAACCCATCAGTAATTCTTCAAGGTGGATAGTCTTATCCCATCTGAGAAGTGAATAAATAGAAGTTTGGTGAAGTTAAATAACTAATGCAAGTTCCTTTTTAAAAATTTAAAATTAAAAAAATTATATATGTTTTGATTACAGAGAGGAAGGGAGAAAGAGACAGAAACATCAATGATGAGAAAGAATCATTGATTGGTTGGCCCTGTCACACCCATACTTGGGATGAAGCCTGCAACCCAGGCATTTTTCCTGACTGGAAATCAAACCATGACCTCCTGGTTCATAGGTCGATGTTCAACCACTGAGCCACACCAGCCAGGCAATTTTTTAAAAATTTAAAAATCTTTATTGTTGAAAGTACTACATCACACATTCTTAAAACCACTGAAAGCTAGAGCTGAGATTCCCTGGGATCTGTTGATGGTAAAAGTTTGTCTTCTATCATTCCTCCCTGTGTTTCATGGTCATTTGGCCACATAGCTTACAACCACCATTTCTCTTGTTTTCTTTTCAGTAATTTTTTGCAAATATTTAATTAAGATTATATATCAGAGAATAACTATTATTTGCATCTACATAATTGAGTGACTCAACATTTTCTAGGTCTCTCTTAACTCCTTTTCATAAAGATCCTTTGACTCCGTCTACCCCATCATTATGATTTCTGCTTTTTCCTTCCTCTATTAAATACAAACTTGGATTTCTGTTGCTGTATTGTTAATGAGTATTTTGTGGAAATTTAGGACTGTCTTTGGACATGTGCAAAACATTCTCCTTTTGTGTGTGTGTGACTTTTCAGGATGGCATATAGATTCCTCAGATGTCTGCTTCCAACTTAAAAGCCTTTAGAATTTTATATAGGGTGGGGCAAAAGTAGGTTTATCATTGTTTGTGTGGGAAATAATATAATTATTAATAACAAAAAGAATAAACTTTTGTGTTTTGCATACACATAACTGTGAACCTACTATTGCTCCACCCTGTATATTCTTTTTTTTTTTTTTTTTTTTAACATCAAGCTTTTATTCATGTCTTTGCTGTCTGTTCAGTCAGTTTGGGGGAATTTAAATAAATTCCACCATTTATTTAAATGGTGCTTGTGATGGTGTGAATTGAATGGATTTTATGAACAATCACTTTTTTAAAGAGAGAGAGAAATGTATGAAGAAAACAAGTTTAATTCAGACTCACAGACTAGGGATCGGAAACTTTCAAGGAGAAGAGAATGATTTATGGTGTCAATGTCACAGTCACCAGTGAGAGCTGAATTGGAAAACATGAACTTTGGTTTGGCAAGGAGACAGTAAGTTACCAAATACTGTTGAAGAGTCCAGCTGTTGAGGCTCAGGCTGGTTCTAAACACCCCCTCCATTTTACAGGTAAGGGAAGCTGAGGCGTAAAGAAGTTATAAAGAATAATAACTTCTCACAAGATCTTACCCTTCTCACAAGCTAAGAAGTTAGCCAGTCACATGTTCATGGATGCTAGCAGAAATGACCTCATTACTCGTGGCAGCTGGCAAAAGCTTCATGGTCCTTTTCCCCTCAAGTCCCACTGGGGTGAAACAGAGTGGCCCTGTTGAATGCTGCTTATATTGGAGTTGTGTCATTGCTGAGAACTCTAAATTTAGGAATCCTCCAATCTTATAAGAGGCTGCTAGCAAACCTGCTTAACATTTGTCACAAAAGGAGACAGTATCTTTACTATCTTGGTCAGAAAACAAATCTGCCTTCCATCCTAGAGGGAGATACTCTTCATATCTTCCAAGACTATTTGCTATACCAACATACTTGTAGAGATAGTGCAAATTAAACAGGCTATAAGATGTACAGAAATGCTATGGAGAATTGTCTCTCAACGGTTACCTGACTTGTTCTGTATTATATAACTAGTAAGTTCCCAAATAGAGGTTTCAGCAAGTTTGAATAACTCTAGATTTCATATTTTAAAACATTACTGTAAAACAACTGCCAAGTTATTGTTAGGTTAATAAAAAAAAAGTTGGTGATAAAAATGTATTAGCATACAAGTAGAGAATGGATTAAGATTTCTAGGGTTAAGTAGATAAGGTACTCATATGAGGCCGGATATGTGGTAAATGGTCAGCATAGATGTTGCAGCTCTAAGGATGATGACTAGGAGGAGGATGGAGAGGAAACCTATGAACCTGGTAATACAGTCTATGAGAAAGGAATGACCTTGAGGTTTGTAACTAATGAAGATAAGAACTAACCTATACTGACTAGAGGGCAAACCCTTTTAGAAGTTGCCTCTAAGAATATTTGTTTTAATTCTTTACTATTCCATTAAATCTCATCCTACCTCTGTCTTTATTGTTGAGGAAAGCTACAACTATCTTTCAACCAATGAATATATATTTATGTGACATCTACTGGGCATTATACTACAGAAAATAACCACAGGGTTAACAAAGCAGTAGAAGATTATATCCTCATTGCCCTCCTCAAGTTTTTTTTTTTTTAATATTTAGTTTGAAAATGAGGTGTATAAAACAAAAAGATAGATTCATATAAGAATGGCTGGCTGGAATAATGTAAGTTCTCATTGTTATGAGGTCAAAAGAGAGAGAGCACTTTGCCATAAAATAGCTAGTGAAGGAGGAAGAGATTGAGGAGGCTGTAGGCTGAAAATGGTAGAGAGGCTAGGGCAAAACATGAGGAGGGATTGACAATATTCACATAATATTTAGAACATCCTAAATATACTATTTGTATGAAACAGTTATTAAAAGAGTAGTGGTACATTCTGCCTATAAGAGATACAATAGCACATGGACAAAGAGAGCTGTTTTCACAAAATGTGTGTTCACTTTGGAGCTCTCCAGTCATTACCCTGACTGAGCAAGAACGGATTCCAGCTGCACTGGAGATTGAGCCTGCAACCCAGGCATGTGCCTTGACCAGGAATCAAACCTGTGACCTTTGGGTTCATGGGTCGATCGATGCTCAACCACTGAACAACACCAACGAGGCAAAACTTTACATTTTTAATAAATCGTATCTTAGTTGATATTTTTAATTCTTATATTTACTACTACACACTGTTTATATAGATGTTTACTGAGCAAATAAATGAATAAACAAACTTTATCCTTTTTTCATGAGTACCATAGTAAGTAGTTTTTTGTGTGTTTTTTTTTAAAATATATTTTATTGATTTTACACAGAGAGGAATTGAGAGGGATAGAGAATTAGAAATGTCGAAGACTGGAATCAAACCTGGGACCTTTCAGTCTGCAGGCTGACGCTCTATCCACTGAGCCAAACCGGTTTCAGCAGTAGTTATCTTTTATCCAGCAATTCTTTTCATTAATTTCACTGAGATTATTATTTTATATTTGATATATGCTTTATTTAAATGGTGTTTGGGATGGAGTGTATTGAATGGATTTTATGAACAATTTTAGAAAAGCTATGGATGAAGCAAACTAAAATTACTTGTTTTATGATGCTATAGAAGGACAAGAGAGAATACAGAACCCACTTGTTGATATTCTGTACACAACATTCTTTTTGTTTTACCCAATTAACAAATATGCATTCACAAAGGCTATGCCATTTTACTGTGTTTGTAAAATGTGGTAGAGACACAAGCAATCTTTTATACATGAAGCGTGGGGGTATGACTTTGTAGACAAAAATTCACTCCACTAGGATGACAAAAGAATAATATTCTAGGGAGCATTTGAGTTTCCAAGGTTTGGTCAAATTTCTTTCAAAAGAATATATTAAAAATAATGGGAAAAGAATAAGATGTAGAAATTTGATGTCAGAGATAGTTGGTGTAAGGGTTAAAAACAGGTTCTGGAGCCAGCCTGATAAATTTGAATCCCAGCTGCCAATACTAATTTTTTAACATTGAGAAGATACTTCACCCTTCTCTACCTCAGTTTCCTCATTTGTAAAGTTAGGAATAATAATGTTGTTTGTAGAGGGCTATTGAGAGAATTCAATACTTTTATACACAGAAAGGATTTAGAACATGCCTGGTACACAATAGGTGCTCAGTGAATGTTACATATTAATTAGGAAATTGATCATCTAGAAGTAATAGAAGTATATATCATTGTAAGAATTAAATAAAGTATTTTATTATTATTTTTATTCATTAAATTGTATCATTCCCAAATCATTTTACTTTCTACTCTTACATACTTATATTATAGATCTTGCACATTAAATTTTAAATATTTTTGACTAGTCTGTCTTTTTTAATAAGCCACGAATCTCTCAAAGGCAGTCCCTGACTTATTCAACTTTGGAAACTTTCAATTAGCATCAGAATGTCTGAAAATGTCATAGTTTCTCAGGGCATACTTTTTTTTTTATCAAAGAAAACTACGTAGTTATATTAAAACATTAATACAAAATGTCACATTAAAAACCTTAAGGGGGAAAGACATAAAAGTGTACTTGCAATAAGAAAATTTGTTAATGGAAGAGAAGTATAACTTTAGAAAATGAAAACTCAAATAAATTTTTAAAAAAGTAATATTTTTTACTGTTTAATGGAGTTCTTATTGTGCTTACATTTTATAAGAATAACTATTTGATGAGACCCATTAAGGGATTTTTACAGAGTGGGACAGCAGAGATGTATCTTAGGAGATGTTTGCTTCCACCATCTCTGTTTTGAGCTCTTCTCTGTTCCAGACACTTGAGGATTAGTGTTGGTGATAAAGAGATGAATCAGAGCATAT